TTATGACTGCTTCCTTCCCCAGTAGAAAGGAGCACAATTAGAAGGCTGAAAACAACAGGCCCTTTGTACCAGCATGTTATGTTTTGCTTATTCTATTACGCATTGACTGGGAGATAAGAATAAACAAGACAACACCCTATCTAACCCCAGGAGGGGGGGTGGAGGGAAAAGCTGGTTACGTTCATCCTTGGGCATGTATGTGCACACCGTTTATTTGCAAATTGAGGTACTTAAGAAAATTGTGCATGCAATACTCAGAAACTAGTCTAAGCACTCAGAAGTCTTTTATTGCAAAATCAAATCTTTTAAGAACAAGCCGTCTGTAATGGGAAGTTTTACAGTTTTTCTTTACTGAAAAGCGTGTTGAAGATATTTAAGTAATTAATAATTACTTCTTCATGCTCTTTATTTATCAATCCTACTTTGGTTCAGTCTTAAAAAAACACTTTAGGACTAGGATTAACAAACATATAAACACAGCTTCCCTCCCTGTGACCTATGGCGTCAAAAAAGCTTGCAAGGAATCAATGAGCAGCCACTAGGGGAAGAAACGTGGTGACCTGAGACCTCTCCCTTCTCTACAAAGGAAGAGCTGCCAGTCTGGGTGCCCAGTGCTCGGATAGTTCCAACAGTGGGGAATGTGGCTTAAGGGCAGCAACCGCTAAGCCAGTCGAGTTCTAAGGAGCCGGTCACAAGATGGTATGGCACCTACAGTTCCAAGAAAACCAAGAAAAGATCGGACCTCTCTTGTAGCTCTCGCCCCACAACCCGTGACTGCCTGGAATGATCTCATTCAATCTCTGCCATTTCTCAGTGGCTCTTTCACTCACGGTGGGCTCTCCTGGTGCCAAAGTGATTTTAAGGAGGGGCTCCAGGAAAGTCATACTAACAGCTCACTGCCCTGCAGCCACACTGGTCCTCATTCTGCTCCTCCAACCCAGGTCAGTGGTTCCCCCTGGAGGCCTTCGGACTGGAACTTCCTCAGCCTGGGCTGCGTTGCCACCAGACGGTCACAAGCCTGGCTCCTTCACCAGACGGCCACAAGGCTGGCTCCTTCCCATGCTTCAGTCGCATCCCAAATGTCACTCTTTGAAGAAGCCTTTCCCTCTCACCTTAACGATGCTACCAATTCTCCCACTCTGTCACCGACTTGGTTTTCTTTTTCTTCATAGCACACACACAGCCTTTTGTATACACTATTTTTCTCCCCAACTAGCATATCCATTTCATAAGGACAGAAGCCTCATCAATCTTGTTCACCCTTATAGTTTCAGCATCTTAAGTCCTACCTACCTGGCACACAGCACATGCTTGATAGAAAAGTACTGCAAGAATAAACAAACAAACAATAAACACAGGAGCAAGAGAATCTGGTATAGAACCAGTGGGATAAAGGTCAAAGCAAAATTTGTCGCCTATCCTTAACCCCACTGCTGCCATTTCCCCCCAGTTTTCCTGGAGGAACTGGGGTGAAGCTCCATGTGAGTGGTGGAGCTGTGAAGCAGAGCTATCTAGCGTATGTTCTTTAATTCTGTGCTGTAGACAGAAAACTATTCTGAAATAATTTACAGGAGATTCTCAAAATTCAAATACAGAAGAAAAGAAAAAAGAAAAACGTGTGTGGATGTCAGCAAGGCAATTCTGCCAGCCTAATTATGCTTCATGACATGTAATTGTGAACTGCTGAAAGACAAATGGTGAAGCAAAGCATTTATCATAAACACATACAGAGGTAAGACTGGGGTGTTAATTTTTAAGCAACTGTCATAAATCTGGTTCCAGAATATTATCCATGATCATTCCTGCTGTTACAACAAAGAGTGCACGTGTGACGACGTGCTCCCTTCATGTATTTCTCAAGATGAGAAAATGGGGCTCACCAGTCAGTCCTTCGCTGTGACACTGAAAACATACGAGCACACAATGAAAATAGCAAGATATTAATTATGCCAACAGACAGAAAGCCCACATGTACCAAACAAGAAAAGTGTAAGAATGGAACTGTCAGTAGACTGTCTTAAAGGCAAACTAGTGATTTTCCTCGGAATTAGAATAGCATGAAGGCATCTCTCCCCTGGAATAGTAATTCAGAAAAGGATTAGCGGTGGGTGAGGTAGGGGATCAATAAGTAACAGTTCTTGTTATAAAAAAAGGTGACAGAAATCATGAAGTGTGGTACTGATAAATGGTATAGTTACTGCTAAAGCATCCCCAATTCTAAAATACTGTTTATTATTTACTTTCTAGTAAGTTGATTTGTCATAATCATACATTCAAGTTGTACAAATGCATTTTCTCCCCACTTCACTGAAATACCAGAAGCAGGCTCAACAACAGAATCAGAGGAGAATTTTAGGGTTACTCCTAAAAAGTATGAATGTGACATTTAAAGCAGTGAAATCATTATGGATATTACCCAAAATTTTAAGAAACTCTTTAACATGATTAATAATAATTCACCCATTTCAGTTCACATGGAGATGTTTATCATTTGCCAAAAAGAATACTGAAATAGTATAAAATGGCACTCATCATAATTAAGACCTAATCACTGAAGAAGTCCAGAGGTATGGAATTTATAATTTTGCATATATGTTTGTTTGCTTGTTTATGTATTTAATTTATTTTTAATTTTTTTTAAAAGCAGGATTCATTGAGAGGACAGAAAAGCTCCCACAGTGGGAGGGGACCCGAAGGGGTTGCCCTGATTTTGCATACATGTTTATAAAATATGGACTCAGGAAAGAGCCATCTAGGTTTGCCAAGAAACCCTTTGATCTCTCAGTGTTTTATAACTAATGGGACAATGGCAAGTTTCGGTGTGGGGGTCTTCTTTGGAAGACTCCTCCTAGCCTTGAGACTTCTCTATTCCTGCTTAGGGTACAGAGTTGACTTACAAGACTGTCGTTTTGTTCCAGCTTTGCGGAACCTCAAGCAAAGCCTCGACCATAAATAAAGCAGCAGGGCCCCAGTAGCAGCTGAGTCATAAACCCCACTCAGCCGCATGTGGCTCAAGGTGTTGGGATCCCGATAGAGTCAAGCCAAACAAGTGGAATCAATTTAAGTCAGTTCGGAAAAACAGAGCACTCCCCTTTCTTCACCCCAACTGACAGTGGGAGATACCACAATCCCCCTTATACAGCTCAAATACAGGGAAGGGTAACTAAGTCCAGGAAAACATCTAGACCTGGACAGACTTTATTTCCACAGTCTAAAAAGGAAAAAAAAAAAAAGATGTCTGACAACCAACCCCAAGTTTTTAAATGTACAATTCTCTTGTTTTTAAGCATAAAAGCAGTCTTGTTGCTGCTAAGTTATCACCATCACAGTTTTTGACATTTGTGCCCAGTACCATTTGGCCTTAGGGTACTTAGCCTTATTACTTTAAAAATACAGAGTTAAGCATATTTAAATCACTTTAAATATCGCAAAAAGCAGCAAACACAAGCCTACCTGCTTGGGCATGAAAAGAGAAGCTTTATAGAATGGCCTACAGGTCAACAAACTCTGGTTTTGGCAGACTGGTGTCAGGAAGGAGCTATAGAAAATAAGGTCCTGTGTATGAAAAATACTCTTTGCCTTTGGTTCCCTCAGGCCAGAACTTGGAACTGTTAGCAAACATGCCCTAAAAAACTGCAATGCTCATAAAGAGCTAAAAACTCCCAAATAAATATGGCCCCTCAAAACTGTGTACAAATGAGAAACATTTAATGAACAACCCTTTCTTTACCAATAATTCTGCTTAAATTAAGTCCAGCAGACTCTTCAAAGGGACCAAAGAAGCCCCCTTGTTAAGACAAATTCTATATATAGACATCCAAGACAATTATATGATGCACATAACCAAATATATATAATTATCCCAGTTTCTACATTCCCATTATCTTCATAAATATAGGATAAAAATCAGTCTAAATGACTTTCGCAGACCTCCTCAAGGATTAAGGCGAGCCAGCCAGCTATTTAAAAAGTATATGTATGTAGTAAAGATCAAAAGCAAATGTTCTGGTCAGTTCTTTTCTACTCATGGGTTTTACTAAGAATGTGTGCAGTTTTCAGGGAAAACACCACAAATGACAGCTGCTCAGAAGCATGGAAATTAATTGGCAGCAGGAATTTCCTTGACTAATAGGGAAAAACTTGAAGTCACATGTTTTGATGAGCTTATTTTTCCCATCCTTAGTCAAGCATATTCACTGTTAATGATTAAGATTTTTAAACAGAAATATAACCGAGTAAAGTCTTGAGTACATTCTCTGTATTTTCTCAGTGGAACACAGATACCCATCACTGAATGCACAGTGATATTAGTGAATGAATTTAGCTGTAAGTAATATACAAGGAAAAGGTTCAACTTGCAGGTCTTGATTTTCTGTAGGAAACAAACCAAGACACAATAAGAATAATGCATAATGCATTCATTACATTAAAAAATAGTAGCAAGACAAGTGCCATCCCCAATCCCCACAGTAAGTCATCTGCTTGAGCTGTTTTTCTAGCAGTGGGATGGATTTACACTGATCCGTCCACAGTCTCTCTGACACAGGACATCTCACGTCGTTGTCCTTGTGACCAGTGGTGCGAATGGATGAGACAGCTGGTCAGGATTAGATGAGCAGCCTGTGGCCTTGGGACCAAGTTGTGTTACTGTGCCCAAAGCCTGATGCTATGACCTTGGGCTTATTCACATTATGTTTTCATCACCCAAGCTAATAGCCCCTGGTCAGCCATGAGCCAGCAGACCTCACTCTGGGGGTACAATGTATTCTCAATCCCAGCAACCATGTAAGCTTTTTGAGCTCATGACACCCAAAGGCTCATGCATGGTGGAGTCCACATGAAAATAGTCCCTCAAGGCAGCAATGAGATATCCAAACATGAGTAACCACAGCCCTTCCATTTTAATCAAATGACAGCTCTGAAAGAGCTCAAGGAAAGTAAGAAAGAAGTCAAAGAATTTCCAAAGTATGAACCCCACGTGCCACAATGGAACAATATACCTGGCCATCCCGAGATTTGGAAAGTTGGCAGGAACGATGAGTACATCCAACCGAGAAAACGGGTGTGTTCCCAGGATGGAATGTGCAGCTGAGAGGCAAGGAGGGATCAACCGCAGAAGGGTCTCTTGACAGGCACCCTCAAAGCACACTGGGGCAAAGACCCGATGAGGAATGATCTTTTGGGTAGTGGCAGAAGCATTCTGGAAGCGGCAGGGGTATTCCATGTGACCGCAAGCACCAACATACCTGGGGAACAACACAAAATAAATGGGTGAGCCTAATAGAAAACCATGTTACTATTCTTGCAGTAGAAATGAGGCACTCTGCAGATGTGGACAACTTTTGGGAGATAGTAGTACAGACTGTCCATTTGAAATCTTGGCTTACCTGGTTCTATGCCGCATTGAAAATTTACAGGTCAAAACACTTATTGATGTGCTTGAATCAATGGAGTAGCTTCAATCTAAACTAAGGGAAAGTAGTAACATCTTGTTCTAGAATAAACTGAAGGAAAAAAATCCCTAGGGCTCAAAACAATAGAAGTTCTCACCAAAATAAAAACAATTCCTGCCTTCCATATTATGTTTTCAAGTACCACGACAGAAAAAATTTTCTCCAAATCAGGAACAATTCATAACTCAGAATGGAAGGAACAGTGCATCCAAATTAAATATCCCATTCTGGAATTTCCTAGAATGAAAGACTTGGACTGAAGTATTACCATGAACCAAATGACAGTTACAGGTTCAAACTTTCCCAAAGAACACACCATTTTCCTGAAAAGTAATCTAGGTGTTCTTTACAAAGCCCATCAAAAGTTGTTGTTAAGGAATACAGTACTTTTGATACAATATTTTCCCAATCTACTTGCAATACAAATTTAACAGAGTCATCCTTTTAAGGAAACAGATCGGAGCCCCGACTGCTCTATGTAACCACTGCCAGTTATTCCGTCAAAGGTGGAGCTGAAAGAGAATTCCCAGAACCTGACTCATAGGCCTCAAGAGAACTTATCTACCCAAAGAAACCTACATCAAAGGGAACTCTATTTTTTCACCTGTTAACATATCCTTTATTCAAACACAATGGAAAACCCCTCTAATTTTAAATTATAATTCTAACTATAGGTGCTTATTTGATTCACAGTGGATACTGGAAACTCTTAAAATGTTGGCATATCCCAGTATGGGCAGACTGTAACAAGAATTCCTCTCCAGATGTATGCAGTGCCTTTCACCCACTCAAGGCCAGTGCTCAGGAGATGCACATGGCTGCATGCACAAGCCTTGCCCTCTGCCAGCACGGTGCATGTAACATCGCTGCCAGCACCAATGGCATTTCGTCACAGTTGCGGGTAAGGAAAGAGATGGAGACCCATAAAAACTTCTCCCAGAACAAGGTGACAGGAAGAATATAATTATCAACAATGAACTCTAGCCAATGTCCCTGGATTGATAGACTTGCTTTGTGGAGAGAGTGCGTAAAGGTGCCCTAATGGCAAGTCCTGTGCTGGTGGATCAATTCAATGAAAGGTTTCACAAAGTGAAAAGGCCATTTACTAAATTAACCACCATGATTCCCTTTTCTAATGCATTTACACAAGTATATGATGTGCTATAGTAGTTTAAGCTCATCCACTCTCTGCTGAAGAGCTTTCAGAGCATGTAAATAATGGAGAAACTAGAGTCATGCAGGCACCTTCTGGACAAAGTTGAGGCAGACATTTAAATTCTATCTACCACAGCACAATTTTGCAAAGAAGCATTCCAGTGGCCTTTTTAGAAACACTCCACTGAGAAAGATTACTTTTTTCTTTTTTTTTAATTTTTTTTATTATAAAGATGTGGAGTACAATTCAGGGTTGCGCATACAAACACTGATTATGCAGGTATTTTTTTTCTTTTTTTTTAGTTGAGGTCTCACTCTTGTTGCCCATGCCAGAGTGCAATGGCATGCTCTCCACTCACCAGTCTCAACCTCCTAGGTTCTGGCGATCCTTCCACCTCAATCACCTGAGTAGCTGGGACCACTGGCGTGCACCACCACACCAAGTTATGTTTTTTACTTTTTCGTAGAGACAAAGTCTCGCTCTATTGCCTAAGATGGGGTCTCCAATTCCTGGGCTCAAGCGATCCTCCCACCTCAGCCTCCCAAAGTGCTGATATCACAGACATGAGCCACCATGCCCAACCAGAAAGATTATTTCTTACAGCCAAGAACCCCAAAGGTTAAAGAATAGATTGAGACAGTCAAAGAGACACCCAAAAAGTCAATTTGTTCAGGGAAAAATGTGAGTTAGAGTCTCTCTGGTCATAACAGGCACTAGCTCAGGAGATGAAGGTGATTCCAGTGGTGAGAATTAGCACTGATTTTTATAATCAAAGCCTGAGAGAAAAAGCAGGACTTTCCGGCGATCAAGCTACGGCCAAGCGAGACCAGCAAAGCTCCCAACAAAAACGGAAATAGAAGTGGCATCAGGGAAGCCACTTGTCGTTCCCATGTGGGGACTGGGAAACCTGGGCTTCAGTGGCTATTCTCAGACCAACCATGACTCAAGGCAAGCAACTCAGGATCTGGGACCTCTTTTTCCTCACCTCTAGCAAGGGCTCACAGAAGTGACTGCTGGCGGAGGGAAGAAATTGATCGGAAAAGGTATGAGAGAGCCTACTGGGGCGACGGAATGTTCTCCATCTGGTTTAGGGAACGCACATACAAGCATCACAGACTTACCAAGCTGAACACTCAAGATCTGTACATTTTGCTGTATATTAAGCACACTCTACTTGAAAATGAATAAACAAAAAAACCTCCAGGGTTTCTAAGGTTTTTTCCGGCCCTATGAGTCTGTGGTCACTCGCCAAAGGAGCCCCTCTTCATATAACAGCCTTGTAAAGGTAAGGGAATCGTGTACCTTTACAAAGTCGAGAATCGTCTTTCATAAATCGAGCATCAACTCCAAGATGTTTGTCTTCCTTCTGAGGCAACTTTTCAGATACTTTACAGCTCTGAAGAAGACCTGTTCCCCCACCAAGACTCCTCTTTAGAATGAACAACTTCAATGCCTTTTCTTCTCTGTAGTGCCCGTTTTCCATGCCTTTAATCATTTTTGCTGAGTTCCTCTGGACTTTATCCAAGTTTCCATGCTGTGCTTAAACTGTATGGCCCCAACAGAGGCCTCGAGAGGTTACGTGAACATAATACAAAGCTCCTGCAGCTGGAGAAGGCTATACTGCAACTGAATAAAACTGATAAACTTTTGACAGTTTCTCTAAGTGCCTTATAATTAATGTGTTTACTAAAATGCTCACCCAGAGTGGGCCGGGGCTTGTGTGACACTGGAGCTGGAAGAGGGGATGTTCTTCCTATAATTTAGCCCACATGAACAGTGATCAAATGTTCAGTGACCAACATTTTGGCTAAGTTTCTGGAACCCAGATGAACACTTTAGGCAAATGAAAACCTGTGGTATATAAGGCCCCTGTAAAAGTTAGATTTACATGAATTGGACTGGTGATCTCAGGAAGGTTTGAAGTAGAAAGAGGGCGGGAGAGGGCAAAAGGGACCAGATGTGAACATAACAGAAAACACCAATGCGATTGGCACTTCAGAGCACCTTTGCTGGCAAACTTTGCGTGGAGTCAGAGTTTTAATGGATGAAAACACAAAGCCACTTTCTGACAACTCAAGACAGCACACATGAAGCATGCAGCCGGGCAGGGTTAAGCAAATGTAAGCTATTATTTTATCAGCAGTACATTCTTGATGGACAAGCACATTGATAAATGAAGGGAAAACTTAATCACAGCCTATCAGATAAGGAGGGAATGAGGAAGGAACTCCATTCCTCCAGCTTCAGGCTTCCATGAAAAGGTGTACTTCCCTGGGGTGGCATCCTCAACCTCTCTTCCCATCTCACCTGACTGGCTTGGCCACTCTGGGCTTTCTCTTTCTGATCTCCTTGCCCACAGAGGGGGTACTTTTGGACCTGCTCTCAGCCATGTGTTAGGCAGGCTGTGCCTCGGAGTAGGGACGCCAGCAGCAGTCCAGCTGGGTCACTAACTGGGTGGGCAAATTCGTCTCATTTGGAAACAGAGTATTAGAGAGCCCTTGGAGACCATGCACTTAAGCAGTCCCTCTTCTGTCAATAACAAAATCCTTATTTTGAGCCCTCTCTCTGTTCCTTGACCGGTTATGAATTTAGAAGGACAAGAGAGGAGCCGTATTTACCCTTTTCCCTAAACCTCAACAAGAATTTTAGACATCCCCATTTGATTTGGCTCTATCCTCCTCCTTTCGGAATAATGGATACAAGAAAATAGAGAAGCCAGTTACTTCTAGGCAGGAAAGAGAGAGCACATTGGAAGTGGCTGCCGCCACTGCCCTGCCTGGCGCCTCTTGGGGATACGGCGAGGAGAAGAGCAAAATAACACATCTGTGGCGTTGCCTTCCCTCGCCTGCCCAATCTACACCTTTTTCAACTGCACAGCTTCTCTAACAACCAATTAGCCCTGATGCTTTAGGCAATAAAGAGCAGAGTACCTCTTCACCATGAAGGATTTGAGGAGCCCTGAACAGTCTTCATTCTCCAGATGAGGACAGTGTGGTTTTGCCCAAATAGCCATATCCAACCAGTAAAGATGGCACCTTCAAGCTCATAGGCATTGCTCTCAACTTCTGTTTTCTCTTCCAACATGACACATTCCAGTCAATAACAGTAGCTCCATCATGGCAGTGACTCTCTAGATGGGACCATGGATCACACTCCAGGTGAGGCACAGATGTTACATAGAGCCTCTTAAGGTCTCCAGGGAAGATTCTGAGTCACCTCTCTAGGGGGTCAGGCCTGGAAGTGAATCCAGGTATTGTTACTCAGTATGCATATGAATGTGAACAAGTTGCTGTCTGAGCATCAGTATCTTTATAGAATTGAAACAATAGTCTAAACAACCTATTTTACAGACTTATCCTATCAGGACTGAATGAGATGATACTTAGATCAAGACTTTCCCTGACTTCAAACAACCAATAGCTTCTGCATCAATTTAGGATAGACTAGGATATGCTGTAGAAGCAAACAACACTAGTGCTTCAGGAGCTTAACACACAATAGTTCACTTCTCACTCAAAAAAAAATTGCAAAATGAAGACTCCTCTGTGATCCCAGGGAAGGAGAAGGAGAAGAGGGTGCTAGAGGGTCTCACACACAATTAAATGTCCCCACATGAAAGCAGTATATGTCACTTCTGCCCACAAGTCCCTTCTAATACATAAGTAAAATCTAATAAGTAATCTAGGATGTTTTATATAGGTCAGAGAGTCCAAAATAGGTGAGTTATTGAACAAGAAGAGGAAAATACCTCTTCCCAAAAAAGCAAAATGCAGACAATAAGATGCGCCTGTCCGAAGAGAGAGTGCATGATTTCATCTCTGAAAGACACTAATTTCCACAGTCACTGTGGTAAGAGTAAAAGCAGCAAAGCAAAACCAACACATAAGGAATCAGCATTAGGAATATATCTTAGCTGGCTTTCAAGGATAAACTAACTACCTGTACCATTACTCTAGGCTTTCTCCACCAGAACGTCCTAACGTAAACAGGAGAATTGATTCAACTGAGCTGGGTATAAAAGCCCAAATAATGAAGCACGATGCACACTTCTGGCCTTCTTCTGTGCATTACCCTTCTCTCTCTTTTGGCTCTCAAAACCAGAAACAGCTGAACATCTAGAGAGGCTGCAGATGAATAGCCAATGACTTGTTCTGAGGTTTTAAAAACCCCAAACTATTTTATCTGGCTCATACTTAACAAACAAGAAATCACTACTGAATGTTAAAAATTCCCACCCAGGGCAACCCCTTCGAGTCCCCTCCTGTGATGGGAGCTTTTCTGTCCTCTCAATAAATCCTGCTTAAAAAAAAAATTCTCAGACCCAGAAGGTTTTCCTTAATCCTTTGGCCCTGTGATAGAGTCCTTGTGTCCTGTGCTCCTAAAGAAGCCATAGCCCACTGAGGGAGGCCATCCCTACAATGCCCGGCTAACAGCTGTCACTGTAACCAAAACAGCAGAGTGTTATACAAATGTGATCCATCCAACAAGCAACTTCTTTTATTATGTTTTTGACCACATAAGCACTACAAAACAAAGTTTTCAGGTATAGGAGGAAAGAAAATGTTGCATCTAAGGATTCCATACATACTTATTTTATTTTCTCTTTCTGCATAAATAATATGCCTGCATCTCTGCCTCTCAACTCTCTTTCCTTCCAGAGCTTTTCCTGCTTTGACAAGTCCTAGTTTGGTTTAGTTTCTCAGCAGCGCTGACTCACATTCCCAGTGCTTGGAAGCAATGCATCATACTACTCCCCCAAGTATTCCCCTCTCCCCCAGCAAGTTCCCAAACACAAACCTGAAGTCAACCTCGGAACGTGGGAAGGGTCTCTCTGTTACCAAATCACTTGATGAGCATGTCTCCAGTTTCATTTCTTTCCAGCATCCCACTGCAATTGTGAAGGTGGAGGCTGGCATGGGCATAGTTACATAGTAATGCCAACTTGAGCACCCTATAAACAGGAAGAGAAAAACCATAATGAGGCCAATAGATGGTTCTAGACCTTACTCTGTATTTCTTCCCTTGAGGCACTTGAAGAGGAGCTTGTGTGATAAGCTGTTAAGAACCAACTCTTGGAGGTTGCCCACATCAACTAAAAGGGGATTATTTCAGGCCTCAGAGAAAGCACAAAAGAAGGTTTCAAGGCAGCCAAGGAGGTCTGGGTCTCTCCCAGCGATCAGTTTGAAGGTCTTCAAGTGAGGCTATAAATAAAGGATGGTGGTTGAGGTACTCACAGCTGTAAACACAGAAGTACACAGGTTGTATGCGTCTAGAGACAAGAACGTGTCTTATTCATCCTTACTGTCTAGATATTTAATATAAAAACAGATGCTAATTGGTATCTGTTGAATTAATATCAACTGAACAAAGCAATGATCACTTCCATGCTATAATGAAACTATCTTGTCTAAATTCAACTCAAGTCCATCTAAAATGTGCATAGTAGAAAATACGAGACTAGGAAAGGGAGAAACCTGGGTTTTAGTCCCAACTCTGAAACTAATTAGTTCAGGTCTTACCGCCATGCCTTTTACCTGTTTGGCTGGTCTTCCACTCCTCCTTAAGTAGATGAAAGCCAGGCACAGGGAGTTGATGGAGCCAAGGGCTCCCAACTCATTTGTTATATATATATTTTCTTTTTTTCCATCTGAATTTAAGATTCATCCCAACTAGTCTGTAACATGGCTGGGCTTAGGGTTAGAGTGGTAAGGGTGTACTCACCACTTAGTCCAAACTTTAGAGAAGGCTTTTATCAAAGGAAAGAACGGTTCATAGCCTGTAACACTATATTTCCCTTGTTTCTAAGACAGAAAAACAATTTTAACGTTTCTGAAATCTGAGTGTGTCATACAACCTTACTTAATATAGTATTAATATAGTATTTTTTTCTGAGCATCTTCTATAAATTGATGGTATGTCTTTTTTTTCTAATTAAGAAAGGTCAATTTATTAAAGGAAAGATACATTGTGAAGGACACAATGAGCAGGACAACAGCAAGAGTGTCTGTTGTCTGCGGCCTTGATGGTATATCTTAAGGGGACTTGATGTCACCTTATATTATGGAACATGTTTCTCCACTCCTCATGTTCCCATGGTGGGGAACTACCAATAGAGTAGCATATCTCTTTCAGTACCCTTACAAACTCCTTTGTAGGAGCTATGGTTGTCTTTCTTGCTTTATGTTTTGGGGGCTAAACATCCATGGAGTGGCCTGTAGTTGTCCAATTTAGTCAATGGTAAGTGTCAATTTGATAATTTATAAAATTCAGGGTGAAAATACTAACATGCCTACACTGGCCACATGACCTAACATGACATATTTGAATTGCTTTGCCATGACGAGCATGGTAATGCATGGCTGGAGTCCCAGCTAATTGGGAGTCTGAGGCAGGACAATTGCTTGAGCCCAAGAACTCAAGGCCAGCCTGGGCAACACAGCAAGACCTCATCTCTAAAAAATAAAATGAAATAAAATAATAATAACAAAATCTGGCCAGGTGTGGTGGCTCACGCCTATAATCCCAGCACTTTGGGGAGGCTGAGGTGAGAGGAATGCCTGAGCTCATGGGTTCGAGACCAGCCTGGGCAACTTGGTGAGACCTCATCTCTACAATAAATAAATTAAAAAAAAGAATTGGCCGGGCATGGTGGCACGTGCTTATAGTTCCAGCAACTTGGAATGCTGAGGTGGAAGTATCACCTGAGCCCAGCAGGTTGAGGCTGCAGTGGCCATGAGCATGCCACTATACTCCAGCCTGGGCGACAGAGTGAGACTTCAACTCAAAAAAAATAATAATAATAACAAGGCCGGGCTCGGTGGCTCAGCCTGTAATCTCAGCACTTTGGGAGGCTGAGGTGAGTGGATTGCCTGAGTCCACAGGTTCAAGACCAACCCAGGCAACTTGGTGAGACCTCATCTCTACAATAAAATCAAAAATTAGCTGGGCGCGGTAGCACGTACCTGTAGTTCCGGTTACTTGGAAGACTGAGGCGGAAAGATCGCCGGAGCCCTGCAGGTCGACGCTGGGGTGACCGTGAGCATGCCACTGCACTCCAGCCTAGGTGATGGAGTGAAACTCCAACTCAAAAAAAATAAAATAAAATAACAAAATCAAAGTGCTTTACCAGTCACAGTCAATATTAGAGGTAAGATTTTGGTCTCCATATGCATGACTCCTTTATTTATCTCTCAACTAATTCTGAACTCAGAAAGGTAGGACTTAAGGAAAAAATAATTATGATTTCTGGTAAAATCCAAGTTTGGAGGCCATCAAAAGAGATATTTGAAGGAAGAATACTTAAGGGCATCTTCGGAGCTGCTGGAAACTCATCACATAGGCAGCAATTCTCTCATGCTTGCTTGTAAGTTTCACCCTGGTTTTGGAACCAGAATGGTCACTCTTGAGATCCTTCTCTTTGTGGCTAAGAAGTCGAAGGCCTGCTCCTCTTGAAAGAGACAAGCAAATCCAGTCATGCTGGAGCCAATCCAGTGATAGCTTCTACTGGGTTTACAGAGTATCACTGCTCTGATCCCAAGCCAGTAAGAAGAGTATAGGGACAGCCACAGAAGTCTTGACAAAGGCATGACATGGATCAGACATGACAGGCTATACCATGCTGAGCTCCCTCATTTTTCTACCTCCCCATAACGCTCTTATTCTCTGCAATCTGATGCTTCCCGTGACAGCTCCATGAAAAATTTCAGTTTGTTCTGGACAAGACAATGAGCCTGGAGCAGGTGGGAGGGAGGGTGGAGATGGAAGAAGAGTGAAGAAGTTGTGGGTGAGATCCTGGTTCTGAAAATCCCTGGTTAAGAAGAAAAATCCCAAATAACCAAATTTTCTTAATCAAAGGTCTGTCTGTCATTCTTTTTCTGAAGTACATTTTGGACTGTCCCTGTACTCTTACCATGGACCATTAGATTTTCCTTTTGAAAAATTTAGCTCCTTGGGGGTTCAGTAAATAAGCAGCAACGGTTAGGCTTTCAGGTAAAAATGGAAGTTTGAATGCATGAGGCCACCTTTACTTCTTCTCAAAACCCCATTAAAGGACAGTAAAAAAAAAATATTTTAAGACATATACCAACAACAACAGGCGGAATAAGACAGGAGGCAATAACAACACAACACTGGAAGCTAGAGTACAGATGGAAGAGTGGCAAATGACACAGCAGACCTGAGTCCTAAGTCGGCAGTGGGGAAAGATAAGACCCACCTTATTTTGGCCCCTAGAAACCCCAAAAGGCACAGGGCTAGAGAAAGTGCTAAAGTCAGCGGGTCTGGCTGAACATCCGAGAGGTGGTCAGAACCACAGATGGGTTCCCTCTGCTGCACACCTGAGCCATCTGCCCATCCCTCACACATCCCAACAAATACCTGGAGGTTTATTTTCCAGAGAGAGTAGAAGAGAGGGCCTCAGGGCTGGGGAATGAGGGATGGAATGGCACAGGTGACGGCAAATGAATGGGATTAGAGGAACGTGTGCATGTAGGATGACGAGGCCACCAGCCATCTTCCCTTGTTTGGCTCCTAGCGGCTGGCAGCCAGGCGTGCACCCTCCAGGCAGGAGTACCCTAACACCTAAAGATACTGACATTAGAGGTTTCCTGTGATTAGCCTACGACAAAGCTCATGGTTGACAAGCTATGCACTCACAGCTTCCAATCAGTATTTTTATCCCCTGCTCCTAAATGCTTGCAGACAAACCTCCAAGCATCCTTAGAAAGCCTTTATTTAATGCAAAACCTTGAGACGAAAATAAGCAGAAACAAGCAACCTGGAGGACAGTGACGATGCAGTGAGAAAACCTGAAAAATACCAAACATGCAAACACTGAGAATTAGAATTTATTGTATCCCTGAAATAATATGGGATAGTATTTTTAAAAAAGCACTCATAAGCAAAGAACAAAAATGTTTAAACATTACAGAAAAAAAAAAAAAGAAAACTCAATAAAAGAGATGGGAGGAAATACAAAGCTGAGGACATTTCCCAGAAAATAGAGAAAAAAAAAAAAAAAAAGACGAAAAGATGAAAGAAAATAGTGCAGTTCAGGAGGTCCAATATCCAAGCAATAGATGACAACAGAGATAATAAATAGATGGAAGAAAATCACCAGCTAGAAAATTCAGGAAAACTGCCAGAAACTGGAGAGGGCATTAGTTTCCAGACAGAAAGGACACAAAATACCCAGAACACTGGATTCAAGGCAACCTACAGCAAGAGACATCATTAGGAAATTTAGATGAATGGAAACAAAGACAGGATCCTACAAGATTCAGAAAGAGAAAGAAAAATTCACATGCAATAAGAAGAACATGTTCAGATACGCAGAGTCTCAAAGAATTCACCTCCCACCATATTCTCTGGAAGTTACTACAGTATGTAACATATGCTTCAAAAAGAGGTAGTAAGACAAGAAAGAGGAAGACAGATGAGCCCACACAGAGAGAAGCACAGGGAACCTGTGGAATGATGGAGAAGGGGTCCCAGGAGTCAGGTGTGCACGCGTCAGGAGAGGCCAGGAGAGCCTGCTGCATAGATGGAACTGAGAGAAAACCTGATGTATCTGAGCATCTCGAAAGGTGATTTAAACAACGTTCAAAGCGTCTGGGGTTGGGAAATACATAGAAAGCCACGCAAATGGAAAAAAACAAAGATTAAGACAATTATTACTCCAAGAAAAACCAACATATTATACAGAAATAACTACAAGGCTCAGCTTTTAATAACAAACATAAATATATTGATACAAATGAGGAATGCTGATCTAATCAATGTTATGATATTAATTACACTGAAAAGATGGAATTTTAGGAAGGGGGGGGTCTGTGTATGATGGAGTTGGAAAAAAAGGAAAGACAGGTAAATCCTTAGCTGCCATAATAGGAAGACCAGCCCTGAGCAATCAGGTACCTTACTGAGAGACATGTAAGTCAATATCAAGTCATC